CCGCACTGGAAACCGAAAGAGGAGTGCCTCAGATTTGTGATTGTGAACTCGTTCAAATTTATATTCTACACACTGTCCTGTCACAACAAATTCATCAGAGCCTAGTCTCCCCACAACCAGAAACCGTCATTTATCAAAGAAGCCCCAAAGCAGTAAACCAAAGAAGGACATTTTTGTGTTTCTAATTTGTAGCTCTTAACGAGGAAACATCACATGAAGAGGGTGGGAATGAGTGTTGAGGACCTCTTCGAAAACGGCAACAGTCATAACTGCACTACGACCATCGTTTGGTTTTCAGGCAAGGCCGGTTACGATTCCGCTGGATCCGCCTCTTCCAACGAAATGCAAGATGCAAATTTATGAATTTCTTAAGGGAATCCTCTAAATCCAGTTTCTCTTTATACCTATGAATGTGCTCTAGCCTAGTTCTACTCATTCATGGGACACAAACACACTGATAGTCTCGAAATCATACTTATAAACCAACCCACTTTGTCAGCTTGGAATATACAGCATAGACGTCAAAACGGAGGCTTTGAATGGACACTCTTATATTCTCCCATTTATACTAATTGAATGGCTTTTCAGAGAGTTGTAGTACAACGCTTAGAAGGAAGCATCTTGAATAACAACTCGAAATAACTTAGGCTCTTTAGACGCAAATTTGACTCAACCGCATTGGCATGCCTCCCACAAGGCTTTCCTACTCAAACTCGACTATGGTTTCGGCTTCATTGTTCCACGCGTCGAATCGCCACTCAGCCAATCTGCCCAGAGTCACAGGGTGGATATGAGCTTTGGGAACAGTAAGTGCAGATTAGACAATTTTGTATCTTGCATTGCAATCAAAGGTGGTAAGGAATACCAAATGAGGTCTCGAAATTGTCAGCATAAATTAGGTAAGAATTCAATGTAATATTGAGGATATATGGATAGTCGTGGAAACTACTCATTTTTTTGTCAGTAGTGTCGTTGGTTTTGATGGCAAATGCGAGTTTGCCGGATCGTCAACAGGCCCACGATAAAAATGTGAACTGTTTTAACGCTGACCTGCTTGAATTCGATGCTTTTCTCTTACTACTCATTTCAATTTCCAGTAAACCTTCCATTCTTAATGGCAATTAAATTTTCATTTGTGGATGCATTTATGTTTCCATTCCTTCTTCAATTTCCAGCTCTATTCTAGCGTTAATTTCAAATTCCATGTCAATTTCCAATTAAATTTTAAATCTACTTGCCATTTTAATTTCAATTTGAATATGCAATTGCATTCAGATTGCCATTTTCATTTTCATATGTTTATTTTAATTCTCATTATTGATTTTTTTCTTTTTCTTATTAATATTTATTTACTTCTCACTTTAGTAACGTTTTACTTTGTAATTTGTTCTAAATCTCATTTTCATTCTCATTTCCTTTATCATTTTCATCTTTGTCTGCATTAACATATTCCATTGTTAAATTAAAATTAAAATATCATATGCAATGCATTTTATTTGAAATAATAATAATAATAATACTTTTAAATATTAGATTTAGATTTTAGGTTTTATAAAAAATTAAGTTGAAATTTAATTATAAATATAATTGCTAATTCCATGTTTGCTTTTCAATTTTAAATCTAGATGTAAAGGTCATTTTAATTTTTATCTTCCCCCTTTCTTTTGAGATATCATGCTCATTTTTTTAATTTCGACATAATTTGAGATTTAAATTAAAATTCCATTTAATATTTTCTTTTGAAATATCATATGCCTTTATCTAAATTTTACTATAAACTTAGATTTAAATCAAAATTTCTTCTTTATCTTCACAGGCATTATAAATATAATTATATTCTCATTTAAATTTTTATTCTACTATTAATGTTAATTTCAATCTCTATTTTCACCTTTACTTTACCATAATTCAAGTTGCACAGATAATTTTGTAACATTTATTCCGTGTCTTTATATTCGATCTTTTTTTTACGGCTTCCCAACAATAGAGCGGGTCGTTAAGACGCACTGATGCGGAGCTACCCAAAGGGTAAAAGCGAGACGGCTTTTTCTTCTCCACCGCTTCTCCATGTCTGGGCTCAGGATAGCCGTGGCGACAATGGCGGTGAAGATACCTTTCTCTTCGGCCTGTCATGGATGTCGTCAATGCTGTCGACAATGAGGCAGGCAAGCGGTACAAACTAGAGCCCCATATATCCTACTTTGCATCGATTGCCAGTTCATAGAGTAGAGACAACAAATGACGCCCTGCAACCCAACCGCTTAGGTGGCAATACCCACCCACACACACCCACACCCAGGCACACACACACACATACAGATGCACACATACACGATCATAAAGATAGCAATAACACGAATATTTATTCAGGATGGGGGGGGGGAATCTGCAGTCGCCCGGTGCACCTAAACAAACAGAACCACATATGGGCAATTGTGTACATGCACGTTAACCGTCCGGATTGCGTTGCTACGCCCTGAGCCCAGGAGAGCATGACTATGGAGCCCACAGTTCAGGCAAAGTAGGTATGCAAAAAACCCTTTTTCAGAGATTTGTCTTGCGCGCGAAAGCTTACTTGGGGCAGCCAGCAATGAGCACAGTACCCACGAAGTCGTGCGTGCGTGCGTGCGTATGTGTGTGTGCAGACAGTTAGTAGCTAGGATATATGAGTAGTCGATTAGCCGTGTGAAAGGCATGTGTACGGCTCTTTTAGGCCATAATGCCAAGAGTTGAGGACCGGTGGGCAAGGGTGGGCTTAAGAGGGGGTGGATGCGTGAAGGGACTCTCTGTTGTTCAAATACGCAACGTTTTGGTCACCGAGCAAACAGAAAAGTGGACTTGTTGGGGCGATTTGGAGAACATATTGTGAATAACACCAACGCCCGCATGTGGCTACCGGCGAATGGTACTGATCGACTGCCGTCAAACAGGGAGACTTCCGGCAAGTTGTCGGAGTATACCAGCCTTGATTTGTTTCTCGTTCGACCAACAAAGTGCTGGCTCGCCATGGTTATATTGAGTTGGCGATCGTTTGATATCTCAAAATGTCGTTTCGAATACTAACCGTTGTTTCCTAGGCCACATGCGCCTAGTTTGGTTGAGCAACACGATAAGGCAAAACATGCCCGTCTTATCCGATGACTTTTTTGTGAAGTTCCTATCAACAGAGGACAATGTGTTGACTAGGGAACTTGATACTACTGACTTGTATGATTAGTAGAAAAGTGTCGAAAATAAGGAACTAAATCGACTTTAATGGGAGTCGAATCTTCATTTCGAATGAGGCGAGTTTATTAGAAGGAATTAGTGAAAGAGCTGGTAGATTGTGTAAAGAAGTCTTGGGATCAATGTTGGGCGACCCCCGATAAATTCGTGTTAAGATGTCGTCTGTCATGTGACGACATGTGAAAATGATAAACAAAAGTCTACGAAATACAGCAACAAAATACAAAGCCAAGAGAAATGACAGCAGGCCGAAAGCTTACTCAGTTGTTTTACTCAATCTTGCAGATTGGTTGGCAACTTCATGTTTATCTTGCATGTTTGTCACATGAAAGACCAAAGCTCAGCAGAGATTTAAGGAGGGCATTTTCAACAGAACCAAGGTTCAAGGCTTCATTGTCGTCATATTCATTGAAAAGTGTCTGCTTTATCTCCATTTTCGGACTGGTTGAACCGGCCAACCTGTCTAGCTCCGTGAACCAGGACACAATAACGCATACCTAATTTTACTCATCAGCAGAGTTGCATGAACGAGCCCACAAAATCATGGAATGGCGCATTAAGATTGCAAAATGAAGTGAATAAGTTTACAGCTGGTTACCTTGTATGCAAGGCATGACTACTCGTTCTGACGATGTCTGTCCCTAATGGGCGGACAACAGCTCAGCATGGATTGATCGAGGTGGCAGGACGGTGATCCGAGAAATGCTTCACA